ATATTTTGATACATGAACATACATTTTATATTTATATCCACAAATGAATGACTTTGGTTTTACTTCATAAACGTGTCATTTTATAAAGGAAGACTGATGCCTTAAATTACCTTTATGATTTTGATTATGAGAAGTTCTTTTTACACAACCAATTTCTTTTTCTATGTGACGTTTCGATGACTAGTACGATATGTACACTGCCACCTTCATCAGACAAATGACCAGTGAAGCGTATGCACACAGGTGTAAAATATGAACGAGTTGTCCATAAAATCGATGTCGATTCCGTCTACGCTTGACACGTATGTACAATAGTTGTTATATTTGTACCGAAATGTACTCAATTCGGCTACGCTTTGTTAACACTTAATCAGAGATGTGCGAGAGATTTTTAGCCCCCTCGTCTCGATTTAGAACTGGCCCTCTGCAGCGTATCCAGATGGCTTTCTTTATCTGCCGCTTGATTATTTTACTCTCTCTGTCCAAAACTTTGGAGTTATTCCAGTCAATCACATGTTTTTCTGTGTGGCATGGTCTGTGATAGCCGATTTATTTATCTGGGACTCCGACTGTTTTCTTTCTGATCTGGTGAATTTCCTACCTTCTTGGGTTTCTGTGTCTTTCCGGTGTTCACCAAGGCGGGCCCCAAATCGCCTTCCAGTCTCTCCAATATACGATGCGTCGCAGTTTTTACATCCGATTTTGTATACGCATTCTGCGACGTTTTCTTTAGGTGTTTTATCCTTAGGGTGTACTAGGATATTGCGAAGCGTCTTGTGGAGTTTCATGGCTGTTGTTATGCCATGACCGCGATATATCCTCTGGATGGTTTCGGATATACCTTTTATATACGGGATGACCACTTGACCTCTGGTTTTGTTCTTATCCTTGATTGGCCTTTTCTTGTTCTTCTCCTTACTTTGACACTGGGTTTTTTGCCCGTTTAGGGTCCATTCCGGATATGCATATGCTCTCATTGCCCTAGCATTGTGATTCTACTCTTGTGTTTTGTCCTGTTGTACTGTGACTATTGTATCACATCTGTTGAGCAATGTGCGTATGACGCCTAACTTCTGGTGTAAAGGATGGTGAGATTTGAAGTTCTGGTATTGGTCCGTATGTTTTTTTTTCTATAGACCACTACCTCCACGGTTCCGTCTTCTTTTTTTACCAGTAGAGTGTCAAGTAAGGGTATTGTGCCGTTGGTTTCTTCCTCACATGTACATTTGCGCCAGGATATGTCTAATTCTAAGCGTTTCCGAATAATTCTAAGTGCTTCGTCAAGGGGTGTGTAAGTAAATAGAGAGACAACATGATGTGAAATGAATTCTCGTCTTCCTGAATCTTGATGGTAGACATAGCTTCCGCTAGATGTTTTGAATTCTTTTTCATGGTGTTCCAATTTACCCACTAGCGGTCCAAGAATGTCTGCAAATGATATGGAAACATTGTAACCAATGGATCCAGTGTAGTCCACAATAGGCCTCATAGGGTTTCCCTGCTTGTGGATCCTTGGTGTACAGTATATTCTAGGGGTGTTCTCTGCTGTTGGATACAGATATCTGTATTGGCCCTCGATAATCTTGCTCTCTTGTTTCAATTTTGATAGGAGGGCTATGAGACGCCTTTTGAACATTTTGGTCTGCAGTTGTTCATATGTCTTGTTCTCCTGTAGCATTGTTGTGACCTTGCCCTCATAGTCTTCGGTATTCTTGACAACTGTTGCCTTCCCCTTGTCAGCTGGTAGTATGGTAAGGGATTTGTCTCTGCCTAATTGTTGGAGTGCGTCCCGTTCCTCTTTCGTCATGTTACTTGTTGGTATTTTCGTGGATTTCAAATCCCCCATTACCTGGGATCTCAGTTGATCAGCCTCAGCATAACTAAGTTTCTTACAACTGGGATTTTATCTGGAACGATAGCATAGTTCATAGCGAGTAACGTTTTCTCGCTACTGGTGAACTCCTTATTAGAGATGTTGACTACCCATTGTTTTAGCATATAATCATTCAGAGCTGCATCCGTGTTCGTTAAGTTCTTTTCTAGACACTCTAATTTCCGCACATCTTTGACAATATCTTGTCCATACTTTGTTTGCTTCACTGATCATTTGTCTGATGAAGGTGACAGTGTACATATCGTACTAGTAATCGAAATGTCACATAGAAAATTCATTGGTTGTGAAAAAAACCTTTCTCATAATCCATACTTACCAACATGAAGAAAACGTTTAAAAATATTCATGAATAAGATGCGTTTGAGTTCCCAAATTCGGCTGACACAGGATTTAACATCCTTAAACATCCGATGCCGTTATCCAATGTGTAGCACTGTCTTTAAATAACGTTTCTCACTGTCCTTTCAGCACTGATTAAGTTCCGTCCAGCGAGGCATTCAAATCTGATGGGTTATCTACCAATAAATCTTCTTTGCACTTTTATTTAGAATTGTTATCCTAGGCGACTTCATATACATTTCTTTGCATTATATCGAAATTTCACTTTGAGCACTGTTCTAAAGATTTCTGAGCACTTTTCTATTCATTTTTTGTAACAAATACTTAATGAATAATCTAGTTCGAGGATACAGTTATAAGGAAAATATATATAACATTATCAGTACAGTCAATTTTTATACCTTCTTTTCTGTTTTTTCCTGATTCCATTCCCTGTTGCTTAGGCTATTCTAGCATCGGTCGGCATTATAGTTCCATCCTCCATTAGTCTAGAGACAACAGAGTTCCTCGTCCGTTCCAGGTGCATCTCTGGCAACACATAGACACTTATCCTAATAAAGCGTAGAGCCATACCTGGCGACACAGGTATCTCTACCTCCAGGTTCTCTTAACGGAGATGGTTTCCCTTTTCCTGCCCTTCAAACAAAGAAAACTGTCTCTAGTTTAGCTGTAAACTCTGGCATCTCACCTCATTGTGTCTGACGTTTTGACTATTGTTACAAATACGATATTTATCTAGAGCTACTGTCCTCATATTTTTCATGGTGTTTGTTGTCAACGTCCTTGTCTCAATCTACATAATTCCTGTCCTCTCCAATCATTGGTTTTTGGTTTGGTTTAGTATTGTTTAACGTCCTATCAACAGCTATGGTCATTTAAGGACGGCCTCCCTTGTGTGCAATATGCATGCGTGTAGAGTATGCGTGTGCGTTTTGGGGAGGCTGCGATATGTTCTTGTTTGTCTCATTGCGATAGCGCGGAACTGATGCCGGCTTTATAGTGCTACCTCACTGAAACATACTACCGATGAAACCCAGCAGGACACCCAACCTGGTCACATTATACTGACAACGGGCGAATCAGTCGTCCCACTCCTAAATTGCTGAGCGTTAAGAATGAGAAGAAACTACCATTTTTACAGACTCTGGTATGTCTCGGTCAGGGGACAGAACCCAAAGCCTTCCTCACATGGGAGAACGCTCAACTAAAGGCCAAGAGTGAGGCATTTTCAAGGGAAACTTTAGGGAGAAGAAAGTTATTAAAAAAGACTAGAAAAGAAAAGATCCCAAATTTAGTCGCCTCCTAAGATCATGCAATTGGGGCAGCAGGTACAATTCTTACGCCCTACCTGCAGGGACCCCTCTCCAATCACCAATTTTCCTTATCCTAAAAAAACATGCTCACCTCAGTAACCATTTCAATTGTTGTTTAAATTCCTCCTGTTTGGTGATGTTAATTAAACAGTCACTTACAAGTTTTGAGGTTGACACAATTGTTTTACATTTTCATTACGTTTGAACAAATTATTTCGCTACACATTTTGATGTCTCTTCATAACACACATATTGCTGCAAGCTCTTTCATAGAGGTTCTTTTGAGCGATAACCTTTGGAGTCCAAAATTCCAGATCTGTTAGCTCAGCTAACCTGTCTCTCACACTTGATGTTGGAATTTCGGCTTTGTTCCTGATACATGATGTTTATCATTATCCAATGTTCCTTAAAATGTAGAAAGCATCACGTTGATAAATGATTGTTTATATTATTTTTTCCCTCCTTATTTTTCACTAAGGATTACGCTAACCAATAGTTTGTATTCTTCCTTTATGGCATCTTCTTGCTGACCAGAATTCCTTCATGACATTTTGGTTGAAATCACTAGTTAGTCCATGTCCATTTCTGTTAAAAAAAGCAAGCAAATGAATAAAAGATCCAACAAGATGTATTAAAGATCCAACCAGACTGCAGCCAAATGTGACAAAGCAACTGGTTTGTCTTTGATGTCATAATTATGAAACAATGCAGTGCATTCTATTAACAGATTATTTATATTGATATACATATATACAGGTTTATGTTCATATCTACACCACAATACTTCCAATCTTTAACCACAGAGCTCACATGTTGACACTCGAGCGTTCGTTCCACAACTTCCACTCCAAACACAATCACACTATACTTTATCATATCGCACACTATGACCACACACATTATTCTGTACCCAGGTACTTCCCAATCAACATTGCTCCCCAGATCTCTCTCCAAACTGTCAACTTCGTTGTAACTGATCAGTAATCATATCTATAATTGTGACTGGCCAGTAACCATACCCCTCCTTGTGACTGACTAGTAATCATATCTATCCTTGTGACTGGCCAGTTATCATATCCCTCCTTGTGACTTGCCCATAATCATATCTATCCTTGTGACTGGTTAGTAATCATATCCCTCCTTGTGACTGGCCGATAATCATATATATCCTTGTGACTGGCCAGTAATCATATCCCTCCTTGTGACTGGCCGATAATCATATCTATCTTTGTGACAGGTCAGTAAGCATATCTATCCTTGTGACCGGTCAGTAATCATATCCATACTTGTGACTGGCCGATAATCATATCTATCTTTGTGAATGGTCGATTATCATATATATCTCAGGACATGACGCTTTAATGTTGCAAGACCAAATACTTTCGAGCAAAGACTCAACCTATTTGCATCTAATCATTTTAGCTTTAGCTGACTTCATTTTTTGTTTTTTTCAGACAAAATTGGAAAAGAGGCAACTTATGATACGAAAGCAACACCATCATGAGACATAATCGTCATAGATTATTTACTTTATTTATTGTCAATTTTACTATTTTCTTATATATATTATATACGACTCGGGAAAAAATACTACGCAATAAAATTAATCATTCGGCATACAGAAGAAGGAAGAAAATCATTAAAAAGTGTAACAAACAAAGTAAACAATTACCGATAATATCTAAAACTCGTTTATTTTATTTTTTGCGAAATTATGGGGATCAATATATCAAAAATTGTGGTATATTGCCCCAATTTCTGTATCAGATTAATAACATTGAACAAAAAATAATTACATATACTGCACAACTTCCCTCGCGACTCCATGGTGGCAACACGGATGGTCAACCACATGACGGAGAAGCTGTGTTTCCTGGTCTCATTATAGCGAATCTGACACAGGAAGGGCTAAGGATAGAGGTTCCAAGGGGTCTCCTACAACCCAACAATCCTTACAGGGCAATTCGTGCTGTTGTCCGAACCGAGAGTATTAGAGAAACGGAATCAGTAAGTAAATAAATTGTTATTGACTGATAAAAACTATCGTTAATAGGTTTTGTATAGCGTCTATACATGGGTACTAAGTAGGTCCCAGATGATACAAGTGTTTTTGTGAACTCTTAAAGATTTTAGATTTTCCTGTCGTTTATTGGTGCCCAAGATATAGGTACATTTTTTTGTGTTTTAATTTCGTATACTGGTGCCGTAGATATCACTACACATATTTTGTTTTCATGTCGTATACTGGTCCTGTAGATATCACAATATTTATGTCGTATTCTGTTTTTATGTTGTTCAGTTGTGCTGCAGATATCACTTTAAGTAGTAGAACTGCTGTAAATATCACTATAAATAATATGTATGTGGTATACTGGTACTGTATATATCGCTATAAGTAGTAGTTATGTGTTATACTGGTGCTGTAGATATCACTATAAGTAGTAGTTATGTCGTATACTGGTGCTGAAGATGTCACTATATGTGTTTTTTTATGTTATACTAGTGTTGTAGGTACAATGTTATGTATTTCTTACAAGGTACCCGTAGAGAGTTATAGAGGATATATCATTAAATATAGGTGTTGACATGTAACTACCAACTGAATCACTTTACCCACTGCACTTACTCCACTAAAAGTCTTGTTTATATTGAGTGCATTTTGATGTTTAGTTGTGATCGCTTATGGGCAATATATAAGGTTTGTGTATAAGTTATATTGGTGATCCTTGTGTGGACAATATCTGAGCCTCTTGTAACGAGAACCTTTGTGTCACTTGTGTGGACAATATTTGAGGTGCCAGTAGGGACATTTGTGACAAGGACTGTGCTTGAGTCGCTTGTAATGACAACATGTGTAGCCTTTGTGTAGACCCTATTTAAGGTTCCGAAATAGAAAAAAAGGTCCCTTTGAGGACAATAACTCAGGTTCTTGTATGGATAACATCAGTGGTCCTTGTGTTAACAATATTTGAGGTTCCGGTATGGGCAACATTTGTGGCGCTTGTATGGACAACAGTTGTGGTCTTTGTGTGAACAATATTTGAGTTGTTTGTATTAACAACATCGCTGGTATAAGGTAAAATATATTGAGGTTCTGGGATAGACACTATTTGTGGTCCTAGTGCGGATAATATTGAAGGTATGTTAAGGACTACATGTGTGCTCCTTGTATAGACAATATATGAGGTTCCGGTATGGACAAACATTGTGGTTCGTATGTGAACAATATTTGAGGTTTTGTATGGACAGCATTTATGGACCTTGTGTGGACAATAATTAAAGGTTCTTGTAGGAACAACATTCGTGATCCTTGCATGGACTTTAACTAAGGTTCTTGTTTGGACACCATTTGTGGTCCGTGTGTGGTCATTATCTAAGGGTGTTTTAATGACAACATATGAGGTTATTTTATGGGTATTATTTAAGATTTTTGTACAAAAAACATTGGTTGTCTTTGTAAAGACAACGTGATCCTTGTCTGGACAAATGTTTTGTCATACTTGTATGGTTCATGAGGCTTGCTAAATACATGACGTTGGTGGCGGACCCACAAAATCTTTCGCGACTAAAAGTAATAAATTTAATAAAACGACAGAATTAGAAATACCAATATGCATCTTTTTGATAGTCCGAGAAATAACATACAGCTGGCGAGAATGTGATTGGTTAGATGTAAGGTTGGCTTAAATATATATCTCAAATGTAACAATTCTGCAGTATATAATGTACAGAACCTTATTTACATAATAGGAAGCGCACAACAGAGGTGTTACAGATATTAGGAGAGCTGCTTATAACAGCAATATTACAGATAATTTGGATGGTATGGCTGCTTGTGCGGCAGCAAGACAAGTTGAAGTAACAGAGAACACATCCGTCAGTAATTGCTGTCCTAATGAAGGTCGAAGTCTACACGGTTCGTTAAACAACTACATATACCGTATAACCCCCCTAACAAAATATTGTTATTCCTGAAATAGCATTAATGTGGAAGTATAAGGATTTTCTGGTGTAAAACAAAGTTTATTTGAAGACTTATATTGCTCGGCCTTTTTGCTATTGTTTAAATTGAGACTAAATGGTTGTGAGCAAGACATAAGTAAATAAACCTCTGACTATCATAGATTCGTTATATTGAAAACATATTTCATAATACACACGTCACTGAAAACTTCTTATAAGTTGATAATAATACGAACACGATCGATTAAATGTGATAGCATTACAGAAATTAGCATCATAGAAAAGATAACACATGTGCATTGTCATAGAAACGACAACACGTGAATGCATTGTAATATTAGAAAATATAACACGGGATAGCATTATCATAGAAAAGATCACACGTGAAATTATTGTCATAGAAACGATAACACGTGATAGTATTGTCTTAGAAGATTAATTCTGTAAAAATATGCTTTTTGTAATCTGATGTTATACATAATAGGTAACTGTAATTTTACTAAGCAAAATTTCCGTCAGTTGCCCAATTTGTACAGTGTAATATCTTGTTTGTTATTTGTTTCATTAAAATTTATAGCAACAGTTTTCTTATTGTAATTAGCCGGACATTTTTACACTAAAACTAAATATAAAATGGATTTATATATTTTGTAACGGATGGTGTTAATTGTGCAGGTAGCCAGAGAGATATGATAGCAGTCCAGGTTTATCGCCACGGAACAAACATTACCTTTAATGTTCCAAGAGGCACACTTGTCGACGATTTAACACGTTCTGCAGAATTTATAACAAGGGTAAGATTCTTATTTCTTCTTGATCTTGATTTCATTCTCAATTGAATTGTAAACATACAGAGATTGAGCATATGTGCATTATTGCAAAACAGTTTGACGAATGTGATATTCATATCTGTTCACGTAAAAAATAAATAAATTGTAAAACAATAAATAAATGAAAAAAAATATAACTGTCATTATATCATTCACAGGTAACATCTAAGTGGAACATTACGAAATGTGACCTGCAGAACATGGTACTGAGAGATCACAACCAAGTGATTGATACATTAGAGACTGACTGTAAAATACGCTTGGATAGAGGTCATATGGATCTGTTTCTAAATTAGTGTCAAAGTGCACAGTGACCTACGAGTGGATTGACATTTCTGGTTACTCACTGGTGGGTGCCACTCTTGATGTTATTTAATTCAATCCTAAAACTAGGATGTCGCGTAACAGTTCCTTGTGCCGGCAATCTTTAGGGTTTATCGTCCATGCTATAGACAAGATAATAGGAAGGCAGATGAATAAGGAGACATCGCTGATAAGGAAGCATATTGAAGTTGGAAAGGAAACGATAGGGATTCTTAAAGTTGTAAATAGTTCAGTAACGAGCAATCTTCTTCCGTTTTTTGCTGTTTATAAATTATATATTTTTTTTATTATTTTTTGGGTGGNATCATATGAAGGTGGATGAATAGTATATCGACTGCAAGCAATCTTCCGGGGTTTTTTTTTGGTTTTTTTGGGGGGTAGGGGGGGGGGGGGATTAGGGATTCTTAGAGTTGTAAATAGTTCAGCAGGCCAGTTTTGGTATATCTATGACCTTTACGCAAATAACAAAGACGAAAAGCCTTGATTCAGCATGGGCCCCACATAAAACGCCCCCTTCAATACCATGCAGAGGGATACATCAGGTCTTTCCCTTTCCGAACTTGCAGGAGGCTGCCGATACATCTGTAGTGATCCGTAGAATACGTACAGTAGAAGTATCGGTTTTTATTTGGGAAGCACTAACTATAGAACGAGGTCAAGGTACTGCCGTGGATAAAATATATGACTAGTTTAAGTACTGGTCAAGGCTTAGAATAAATCAATAATTTCTACGTGGACATCAACACCTTATCATCACTTTGACCAATGGCCGTGTAATCTAGTTTAAGCACCTATAAATACTAGGGCCATCTATAACGGAATGTGCGCACTTGACAATCGCCAGAGCTAAGTTTTTGTTGTTTTAGAGTAGTTGTATTTTGGTAGTTTTAGAGTTTTAGTGTTATTCGTAGATTAGTTAGAATGAAGACTGAAAGTGGATGTTGTGTGAAAGAACTATAGTGGAAACGTGCGGATTACGGAAGGATGATAACTGATGAACTTTTCCTGCTGTAGTTAATAAATATGTGAACTGTATTTCTTGTGTTTGTTCTCCATCGTACCACAATTCCATCCCACGACAAACTCATGCTTTCCCTGGAAAGAGCGTAACACATCTACAGATACAAAAATTATATATGGGGGAGTGTAGGAGCAGACAATAGACACAAAATTACGGCAAATATGTGTGATAATTTGGTAGATGCTAATGCATGTACAATTTTTGTGCGTTCACTTTTTTCTCTCTTCATGGACTTTGATAATGCTCTGTATGTGCCATATCAGATGCACTAACTGACCAGATGCAGAGAGTCCAGAGTTCTAAAGTGATTTCCTATCATACCAGTGTTAAGGTCATTGCATATGTGACATGTACGATTCAGGTCGTTCAAAACACTAAATGAAAAAGCTCATTAGTATTTACAGGAGCATGCCTTATTCAGCTGTCATGATTATTTTGGTCGCGTACAAACCTTGATTTGTATTCTTATTCTGTGACCTAAGAAAACTGGTGCTTCGGAAAACCTGTTTTTAAAAAATATTTTTGATATTTTGTGGCACATCATTAATAAAAGTAAAGAGTTATCTATTCAATATATTTGACTCTATAACGAACGATGTATTTTAAGATAAGGATGCCGACGGCTTTTATTATACGTACATACCGTATTATAAAATGTAAGACACCTTATTCATTATTATACTATACCTAAATCACGATTAAAATTTCTTCAGTGTTGGAATTTCAGGCTAAATGGAATATTTGTCAACGGGACGCAACTCTCTAAGGAACTACATGTACGGCAGTACAAATTAACTCATAGCTACTCTTTATTTTTGTCAGTAAGACATGAAGCAACGCTAATGAGAAAAGTCAACATCGTATTCGTGAGATATATTTTTTTGCGTTATCGCAGGGCAAATATGTTAGTAAAAACACGATTTTTTTTACGAAAATCGATTTTTTTTTATATTTAGAAAAAGTGAATTTCTGCCTGGTGAATATTTTGCTCTATTTTATCGATAAAGAATTTTGAATACAGGTTTTGTTAGTTTTTTGACAAAATAAACAGATATCAAAGAAACACTTATTAATTATACATAAATGTTTAGTGAACGAATGCCATTTGTTTAAAAAGATGGAGCAATATTATTTTTCTATTGAAGACACTTTCTAAAAATGACTTTTACACTACAAAACAATATATTATTACACTGCACAGCAGTCACTTATATGATTATGAACCCATAATATATGAAAATGAAAGCAATTAACTACATGTAAATGATAGGTACATGTCTGTATTTGGAAGTTATACCTAACATACTTACATATCAAGATTACAAGCTAAGCTCAATATGTAGATTTAAATCGTGCCGCTAAAATTTTGCATGAGTTCTGCATTCATAATGTATGAGTAACAAAGGCGCGAAAAGATTACTAACTCTGGACCGTTTACAGAATTGAATAGGAACAAAAGGCATGAATCATGTGACATATTGAATGTTTACCTGTTTTGTTCGCCCTGCCAAGTCGGAGTCACCGACACGGTCCCACAATACTGAGACCGACTATACGGAGCAAACGAATTGACTGTTATATACCGACCACCGATAAAGGTCCATTGTAAGTACACTGTATCATATCGATAAAAAAAGTTATGAACGTATCGAGTTAATTCAATGTCAAATACTCCTGTCTTATAAGGTAAAGATATATGTCTTCACGTATTATAAACAATACTGAACCAAACATATAGTGCCGTCAACACGTTGCGCCCGTGTAGTAAAAATTGGATGATTAAATTAAGTCTAAGGTAATGTAAACAGTTGAAACCGAGGTCTAGCAGGTTTGTCAAAATAGGAATGAAATGACGCACAGTCTTTGATTATTATCTTTTGGCAATACATTTGCTTTTGTAACATTAACACTAGACATGAAATAGTTGTTTTACATAACAGTAGTACAAGTTCACGAAACAGGGGAGGCAATCCCCATTTTCAATACAATATAACACATTTTATACGGTACTTAAACGCACAAATAATTTAATTTATTCCAAAGTCGCTCTCAAGAACCTCAGAAAGTATGACTTTTCTCGAGGTACAGCCTAAAATAAAGCAACGGATTACAGGAACTCTGATTAGATTGACGAAAAACGCAGTATTCTGTGTGAGAATCATTTAAGAACAAACCATGCAGGGAATAGCACAGTATTGATGATGTGGATTAATGCCAATTAAGTGTTCCTGATAATAACTCGTAAACCAAATTAATCAATTACTTTATCAATCATAATCAAATAACTGTCACCTGGTTATAACTGCCACACGTTAAGTGTGAACGTGTTACGTACAAATATTAAAGGGACAGTAGTATTAGCAAGTGACATAAGCAAACAGTTTACATCGTGAGATATTAAGTAGATCTAGGAGCTGAATAGAAACTTTCTTGTTTGTCTGCTAGCAAATATTCAAATGCGTACAAAAAAGAAATGCGGGTACCCTCATTCTTCAAATGAAATCACTCCGGTGACTCGCTTGTTTGCATTTTTAAGGGAGGTTCTTTGAAGAGCGCTTCACGCACAGTGTCTTTTATTAACTAGAACCATGACCAAGTAATATATAAAGGTAACTATTTTTTTTTTCATTTAAGCATATGTTACAAAACAATTGATCTGTTTTTATTTAAAGGTGAGAGTTACAGCTTGAAACAGTAGAGATGAATAACGTTGATCGTGGATTAGTTTTCATGTTAACTCTGAGCATCATCATAGTTGGATTTGTACTGGAAAACAAGTTATTACTGATGCACCATGACCCCCTTTCCATACACAGCTCAAAGCCAGAGCCATCAAGTTCCACATACAAAGATTCAGCGCGGACACACAGGATAGAAAGGGCGATTAACGTTATTCTTACTCAACGGAACTGTTGGGCATATTTCAACTTGACAAATATAGCAGACGTTTTGGTCAGGAAATTAGCAAAATTTAATAGGATTGATTCAACATCGGAGAGAGCTGTTTGTGGTGTACCTAATGACAAAATTCCAATTATTGCTGAGGACCTTGGTGTCTCCGAGAATCAACGTAACGCCAATTTAAGTTTCCAGCGGATATACATATAGGTTAATCTATTGTAGTGCATAACATTGTGCCTACCCTTTCGACAAGCGTGATGTACAACAACAGACGTCATTGGAGAGACAAAAACAAGAAAAGGTTTTGCAGAAAATGTTTGAACCTTCCGGATCACATATATTTTGTTTTGTTTAAGTTTTCAGTAATCATAATTGGCTCAATATGCCTATCATATGGTAGAAAGCGTAACACTTTTCTTGATACTGTAGTAAATTGTAACTGTTACAACATTTATTTTAAATATATAAATGCAGCTTCATTTGAAATATATGTATATGAGTATACAATTATATGCGATTGTTATTGACCATACATTTTAGCCTATAACATGCTTATTTTTTCAAGCCTTTTCATCATCGTACCTGTTATGTTTATATACATGGAGTATATATCTTTTATTATTGCTTTGTAATTTGTTTTAATTCCATGATTTTCCCAAAGCTATGTGACTCTATGTAAGCTATGTAATTACATAATTATATTATCCACTCTAAACTTGTTCACCTCATTCAATCTCTTTCTCAACAACAGTAATAAAACTCCTTCTTGCTCTCTACATGGACATCATTATCATTCTCTTCCACTCTCACTTTTGTTAAGTGCTGGTGGCTAGTTAATCACTGTTGTTAACTGTGTAAGTCCATCTTATTATTTTAAATGATAGTTAGATACGTTCATCACATGGTTTTCAGTCATTATGGTCCTGTTCATTTTCTGATTGTTTTGATTGATAATAAAGTCGCAGCCCTTTTTCATTACATTTTCACAAAGTCGTTTCTGTTACACCTTCTAAGAAGAACAACAAATAATTTAGTATTATAAAATGTCCAAAACATGAGATATAATGATGTTGTCATGATCACCACCGTTTATAAACTAATAAAGATTAAATCGATCATTTTATCGTAGTAGTTCATGGTGCCTTTCCTTCTTTTGTGTTAATGTAAACATGACCTCGTTATAACAATGTTTTATCGGCATGTGATGAACAAGTTCTACATTTAAATAATCATTGTTTAATGTACACATCTATATTACAGATGACGACAGCTCGGAGATACTTGATGGTTGGACAGTGATACCGTGGTAATGT